AAGCTCTCTGGTATCCCCACCTTTACTTTTATCGTAAGTCTAACACATAGAATGGATAACATATAGATCAATATACAATATGACATAAAATTTTTGGCGATCGGAGTAAATGTCACGTGGTTATAACGCCAAGCCCCTTTGAGGTCTGAGTCGAAAATCTGCTGTTGCCGGCATTTTTTCGTGAAAATCTCTCGGCTACACATAGTGCGCATTAGTGCCTTGCGCTGAAAAGAGTTTCACCAAAATCGCAACACGCTTGGAAATTTTTAGCTCAATTTCGGACACACAAAAAGTGTCCCCATCTCCCCAGTCCTCTTCTTTGAAATTCTGCGCCGCCATATCGCCAGCCCGCCAAGAGCGAAAATCTGTCAGGCTTTATCGCCATGTGAGAGAGAACTGGTACTAATAAACAATGTTTTGACGAGCGAGGTAAAAGCTGCGAAGAAAGAGCTTTTTATCGGTACCTTGCATGCCTTTTCTTCAAATATTTTGAGACTAGCTTTATGTCGGCGAAGAAAGAGTTTCTTGCAAGGTTCTTGAGAGAAAAGTCTGGCTGAAGTAAGCTTTGGAAAAGGTTTTATATCTGCTGTTTGGTGCTCATATCTCAAAAACGGAAACGAGAAAAACATGAAGAAGGTATTTATCCTTTGTTTTGATGCTTTAGTTGCTTAAGTTTGGAGCTTACGCACATGATTTTTTTTTACAAAAAGTACCATTTTTAGGTCAATTAGGTTCACATCACGCTTCTTAATGGATGAACTAACCGGTTTTGGATGACTTGAAAGAAGCAAGAAAATCACTCCTCCGCTGCGAGGTTATCCTATTCTCAGTAAAGCGATTTCTACTTCGTGAATTGTCAAGACAAACTGCTAACCTTCTTGGCAGATAGTAATAAACAGCGAGGAATTCTGTTCGTTGAAAAGTGGGAAGTTACAATAATACATCATGTCATCGTCAAACAACACCAGTTCAGCCACGTTCAAGTGTATTTGAGGTCTCTTCTTTGACATTAAAACACCCCCACCAAACAAGAACGGTGTCGCTTCAAACTTCTTAATGAAGGTAAGTTAAAGTTATCGAAGCAAAGTTCTTAAAGAAGGCATTTTAGCGGTTTGTTACTAAAGAGATCAACAATTAGGATGACAATCGATATACAGAACAGAGCTCATGCTCTAAATGACATGATGTCTACTGAGCTGAAATATCTTGTGTTCATTTCATTTATTGGTTTGAAATTGCAGTTCCTAATGTTTTCACGCCTCTCCAATGCCATTATAATCAGCCGTAGTTCGTCTGGCTTCACGTCGCCATCTTGAATTTCTCTTTGTAAGGAGCCAGGCTTCGGACGGTCCCGAACAAAGTTAGCCCGAATTGAAGCAAAAATTTCCAAGCGTGAAAGACCCAATTCGAGAAATTCAGCGGTTTCCAAATTTAGGTCATAATTTATGCATAATAATAAACTATGAGATTCATTCCTTTATTTTGGGCATCGTTATAACAGATGGGTCCTTGCAAGTCAGCAAAACGCTTTAGGGCCTTGTAAATGCGAGCGATTTCGAGCAAAGCAAACATATAGTAATCATAGTTTTCGCTATTTGTTGACGTTTGTTAGCGTTTAAAAGTCCTTCTCACGAAAAAGGAATTTTCTTAAAAATCCGTAGTTTTTTTCCTTCAAATTCTTTCAGGGCCACAATTGATTAACTAACCCCCCCTTCAATTTCATGGTCATTGAAAAACTGTGACATTATCTTCTATAGTAAGCCCAAACTTGAGTAAACATTGAAGATTTCTAGCGTTTTGACTGAGTTTGTGCTTTGGGAGGAACGGCATTCGGAAGTCAGCCAAGCGTGGTCATTGCATGCGTGCTGAACAAGAATGCTGTTAATGACAGACTAGAAACAATAGACAACTCCCAAAGCACAAACTCAGCCAAAACGCTAAAAATCTTCAAAAATCTTCTGAGAAGTGTGGAACAAGATAAAGACTGACAAGGGGTTCTTGACTGGGGGAAAAGTGCGGCAACATCCTTAGTTTGTCACACTATTCCACACTTCAACACCTCTGAGAAGTGTAGAACTAAGTAAAGAATGACAAAGGGTTCATGACTGGGGGAAAGTGCGACAATATCCTTACTTTGTCGGACTTTTCCACACTTCCACACCTCTGGAAAGTGTAGAACTAAGTAAAGAATGACAAAGGGTTCATGAGTGGGGGAAAGTGAGACAATATCCTTACTTTGTCAGACTTTTCCACACTTCCACACCTCTGGAAAGTGTAGAACTAAGTAAAGAATGACAAAGAGTTCGTGACTGGGGGAAAGTGCGACAATATCCTTACTTTGTCAGAATACTCCACACTTCCACACCTCTGTGAAGTGTGGAACTAAGTAAGAAGTGAAGAAACTCTGGATTTCATGGCCAGGGCTGGACATGGTTCATTTCGTCAGACAATTTCTGGCCTTTTTTTCGGCTGCTGGTCCTGTCATTTTCCTAAAAAGTCCCATTGGCTGCATATCTTCTCATAACGATGTTAACAGCAGAGTGATAAAGCATTTCAAGGGGCCAAGACTCATAGGTTTATATTTTTCTTGTGCGATTAGTCAGTCGCTTGCGCGCCGAAACAATTGCGTCAGTGAAATTTCTCAGTGCACACACTACTTTATGTCAGAGAAGCTGTGTTCGGCCACCTTCTCGTGATCTGTAGCTTGTCACACAATCGGAACACGTGAAGAACACCTAAGAACTTCTACGAGGGAAGCTAACTTTAACACTAAGGGGGCCATAGAAAGCGTGCGTGTTAACAAGGTATCCGTATTAAGCGGCTCATGATATGAAAGTAGAACAGGACAATGAGCATCGTCAAATCAAACATCTCTAGCCTTTACAAACCGTCAATCGGCGTGGACTGTGTCCACAGAAGCACTCAAAATCCGCTCTTTTAAACATCTACTTTATCGCTGACTTAATGAAAGACCGTTTTCAGTTTGATGCCGACATACATTCGCTCAACTGTTTGGTTGGGGACAAGCTCTGGCTAGCTATACAAGAAAGTTCACTCAGCACTTGTAATTCATCAATTCTGTATTACTCTTGTTCTCAGATTTTACAAATTCTTTACAGTTTCAAATTTAAGCAGGCCAATACTAAGCTATAGCGTCCTGCTTTATGGAAATACGGCCGAGTTCACAGTTTTATAGGTGCGACTGACTGTCAATCAGATTCCGTTCATAAATTTCGAGAAGACAGCTGAACCCAGATGATGCGTAATTACAAAGTGAACGTGTTCTGTATATTTTCATTAACTCGACTGTAACGATCAAGTGATATGTACACATTTTGCCTATCACAGACCCTTTCAATGAGTCAATTAATAGTTGAGGGATACAATGGCCGTTTTCACTCTAGAGACATTATCCGTCTGAGACAAATAATCCATCTTCAAAATCTGTCAAAATTGACGAAAAAACAGATTAAGTCAGGCGAATTGTCCATCAAAAATTAAGACCGTTCCGTTTTCTGTATTTACACTAGAGACGGATTAGCCGTTGGATAATTCGCGTCAGACAGATAATAAACAATTATTGGATGAGGTTGAGCATGATATCATGAATTATCAAAACCGAGGTCTTTGTTATCTGCCGAAGCCGAAGGCTGAGGCAAATAATACAGACATGAGGTTTTGATTATTCATGATATCATGCGAAAACCGAATTCAATAATTGTTTTATTATACATTTTTTCATCCTCAGAAACAGAAGCGAAGCGTTTAGCCATTCTGTTTCTGAGGAGAACACTCAAAGGGGCTTGGTAACCAGGCAGACGTTAAACTTGACATGATAAATGCAATATCTGCAGCAGATATTGCATTCACCATGTCAAGTTCACAAGCTATTGTGAATTGATTGAATGCTCTCGACCAATCAGATTTTTCATAGTGAGTCTGATGTATAATAATATGACTTAATTGAAAATGAAACGGGGTTAATTTTGGATGCACAATCCGCCTGAGTTAATCCATCTGTTTTTCCGTTAATTTTGACGAATTTTGAAGATGAATTATCCGTCTCTAGTGCCCTTGTGTTAAAACTGTAGGCGCCCGCCACTATACACGAAACGGAGCGCAACGAGAACGACGCTATAAGAGGGTTACAATTTTAAACTGTTTTTACCTTGTGCAGTTTGTCTAATACAAGTAAATTTTTCTCGAGCTGAAGTGTAAAGAACTGTATCTAAGTTCAGAGGAAGAATAAAAAATCGTTGTCTGGTGTCCGTCATAAAAAGTAAAATTGGGAATTTTTATGTAGAGGACGTACAGTGACAGTAAGGAGATCTTACGAAAAAGTTTAACGCAAGTGCAAGCTTGCTAATTTAATCAATCTAAACCTGTTACGTTTCAACCTTTCGCCTTGGCTTGCATGGGTCCACGGCCTCGTTGATTTCTTGACGCCGATTTGTAAAATTGGTTCAGTACCGTTAAGCGTTCATGTTTTATTCTTGAGCGCTTCGCCGTCATCACTCTCGATTTCGTAATTGATAACAGAACCATGAACTTTTAGTCAGGAGGCAGCTCGCCAAAAAACGATTTTCGCTAAACATTTTGAGTAGAAGCAGGCAACATAGCTTAAAATCTTCGTCTTTCCACCCTGATTAAGAATTGTGATGTTGCCCACTCGAAATGTTATGATATCTGTCATTAAGCGGGTTTTTTGTCTAGGCCCTCGCTCCTGCAGCATGAAAACGAGGCTGAACTGTAACATTTATATAAACCCAATAAAAAGTACACGACACGACGTTTAGAGCTCGATAGACAGTAGTGTGGGAGATAAAATGCGTCACGTGACCAGTTATGAAGAGTCACGTGACTTTTCAATTAAATCGGTCTTAAAGCATAAAAGACGTTCTATTCACACTTTCCTTTAATATAGTTTTCAACTTACTGACGTTTCTCACTTCGCTTTACACATCCAACAATAAAAACACAAAAATCAATAAGTGATCAGCTATGATGGGTCACGTGATGTAATGAAATCATTCTATTTTCAGTCATTCTATAGCGTTTCCAACCTATGTAACATTTCCAATGAGTTAGGATTTTTCACGTAAAAAGACTGAACTTTCTTCTACTTGGCCGCACGGTTTAAGCCAGAAATACAAGCTTATAAACCATAAGCAAAGTATCTTATATTACACAAGACCACCATGTGACTTCCACCTTATCAAAGTTATAGGTCATGCTTCATTCGCCTCTCCTGCAGTGTTCCTGTCGTTTCTGCACCTGTCGCCACATTTACATGACTTGGAACAGCAAAGAGATAGTTGAACGCAAGTGCAGCGTCGGTTTACACAGCATCCGCCTTCTCGGGAGCACCCACAGTATGCTAACTGTAAACACGCCGCTGACACTTCTTCTCGCGTCATTAACTTTGGCTTCAGAAGGCCTTCACTGTAGTACCATCCGCTGTCTTCAGGTTTTGGGAGAGAAGGACATGGTTCCAGTGCTTTATTCCATACCATGGTCTGATAGTTTGCCCGCTTTATGTGGAGAATCAGTGTATCTTGTGTCGGAGGTAGGGCGTCAAGATCTTTCTTGGATTTGCGAAACGCTGCTGCTCTTTCTTTATTGATTTCCACCTCTTGTGTTCCCGGATTGTAGAGTTTGCATACAAAGGTTTCAGCTTTGGCAAGAACGTCAGCACTGATTTGGCTTTCTTCTCCAAGGTGTTCCAAGAGATCAGGTGCATCTTCGAAGAATTTCCATGCCGGTGCCTTGCCCACACCATAGAACTGGCTTGTCGTATCACAGCCAGTAATTGCATGAAATGCCAGAAGCGACTTCCTCTTCTCCTCGGAGAGCGGGATTCTGTGAACTGGTTTGTAACGCCTTTGTCTTGATGTACCCGCAAACATCCATATCTCTTGACAAAGGTGCTCTCGGTGTGCCAAAAGGACGACAAGAACGTCCGTATCACGACACAAAATGTTGACTTGCTTGTACCCTCTTGCTGCTGCGTCTCAGGCATGCAGTACTATTCTAGTATCTGCCTCCTCATGATCTGATGCGAGCTCTCTTATATCTTGTCGTGATGTGTCAGATGACCACACCTTCAGTGTCTCCTTGAAGCCTCCATTCATCACCAGCTCTCGCCCAGGAGGCGCGCTGTAACTCTCCGAGATTTCAGTAGAGATGAAATGAGTTAGGCTAGCCTTGTTATCTTCGAGAATGATGAACCTTTCCCAGTTTCCAATTCTCTGATCTCTGTTATCCACATTGCGCCTAATCCCTGTGCTCTTTTTCTCCTTGCGCTTGTCTCTGGTTCCTCCTTTTATCGAGTTCTTGACATATCTGTCAAATAGCACGTCAACCCTTGTACAACTGTCCGAAAAATGGGAAGTGACATGACGAAGAAATCGGTCACTCCACTCACCAAAGGTTTTTGCTCCTGAAGAGTTGGCGAAGGACTGAACAGCTGCCATCCCATCAATAATAGTGCATGTTTGACTCCTGCTGATGGGCATTTGGCTCTTACAGACATTTCCTTGTAAAATGGTACCAAGATCCGACTTCCCTGCTTCTCGTAGACTTCCGTCTAGGGTAGCAAGTGACTTTGGGACTGGAGCAAGCTCGCTTTGAAGCAACGTATTCACATCTACATCACGACCGGATTCCAAGGCTACTATGACCCTTCTCAAGAGATCTTTGCTTTCATGGCGATGGTCTTTCTCTTATCAACTGACACTGGTACAGTGTAAAGTGTCTCAAAGGTTTTCACCTTCTGTTGCTTTAGAGTGTCATGGAACTTTATTTCTTTCTTGATTAGCCTGGTTTCAACGAACTCTTTGATGACTTTCTTTACCAATTTCCTCAACGCCATGTAGATTTTGTTTTATGGCGTTACTTGCCACATCTCCAGTGGTAACTACAACTAAGTCAGCGTACATCGGAAGACCTCGTATTTCGTAAACTACGCCTCCAGCTTAGCTACATCCTCTGCATCTTGTCGCATTCTGGCTTTTCCCAGATCTTTGGCCCTAGTGCATTCTCTTTCTAAGACGTTAAACATCTCTTTGGTGTCTTCTGACAGCTTGGCGCGCTCATTGTAGGTAAGACACCAGCGATCTCAAGCCAAGTCTGTCCTTGTAATTCCAACAAGGCCTCCAGCTACCTTTCCAGCTTTGTTTACATGCTCCAGTGCTTGGTCGTCGGGAATTTGATTGAAGGTGCTGGCTGTCTCCTTTGCGCCACTCTCAAATGCCTGCTGGACCTCAGGGGCAGTCTGCGGAAGCATCTTCATGTCTGCAAGAAATATGACGCCCCATCTGGTGTAATTAGAGTGGTCGAAAGTCGCAAAATAGGGTGGCATTTCGGAGAACGAAGAGAGATACAGATCCCACTTCCCTTCCCGGATCGCACGCGTGGAAACCTCAGTAAGACGGACACCAGTTTCATGTATTGTCTCCAGTAACAGAACGAGGGGTTGTCATGATGTGCGGCATCAAAAGCTTTGATGCTATGTGCAGCCTGTCCAACTTCATTAACAAGCTCACTGCTAGTCAGGGCATCTACTAATGCATCATCGTCGTTCGCAGTCGTAAACTTAGTGGCCAATGTTTCCGACAGATTCACGAGAGTGTTGCATTCATTGTCATCCTTGTCTTTCGCCCACTTCGTTAATATGGGCCACAATACCCTCCACAGTGCTTCATAACTCAGCTTGTGGGCACGTATTACTCGATTCCACAACTTTCCTTGAAGGATGTTGCGAGCTGTTGTCTCACCAAAGACCTCACTCTCTGCCCACATCTCCGCCATTCCTGATGACTGTAAGTACTTCCCGATGACTTTTGAAAAAGTCATCTGCGTGTGAAAACCTCCAAGCACAATGATGACATCTTTGAGCACTTGTGTCTTTCCCCATTGCAGCATCTTTGCCTTGTTGTATAGGCCCTCGTCCATGGTAATAACAGTGAACTTGCCATTTCTGAGGTGCGTCATTGCCTTGCACCTTAAGATCACCGTCGAAAGAGTCTCGAATTCATGAGCTGGAGCATTCACAATGGGAAGTGGACCCACCACTGTGACTTGTGGTTTTACAGTCGACAAAAGCTGGTTGAAACCACCCTGGTATTGACTGGAGTTCAGGTTTTTGCTCATGCAAACGACCAAGGATCCAAGCTAGGTCCTTCTTGTAACACTCATCAATTAGACTGCTGTCAGGTGTGTACCACTCAGAAACTACTGTCGTCTGTAGTTCAGGTTCTGGTTTCTTGTTGTCCAACGACAAATCGGCTAGCTCAGGAAGTTCTGATGGCACTTGAACATCCAGTCGCCTTTCTGACTTAGGAGACAGTTCGATATCCATTGCTGATTCTCCTTCCTCTTTTCGACGAAAAGCGGCAACCTGCGTCGCGTGGAATGTGCTCATGCCATTGAGTGTTTCTTCGTTTATGTCTATGTTATCTACAGCAAAGCGAGTGTAGCCTGCAGGATCTGTGGTTCCAGTGAAGTTACGAGGAACAAACACGTTACCGCTTTCCCTGTACCTTTCAAGGACATCATTTGCGATGGTATTGTCCATTCTGAGGACAGTTTCGTAATTAACTGAATGGCCGGCAGCGTGCAAAAGCTGTACCAGTTGTTTAGATCTAGTTGCCTGGTGAACGGTAAGGCCTATTCCAACATGCTTAGGAGTTAACTTATGCCCTCTAGAAGAAAGAAATATTATATCTTGGCATATACTCAGAATACCGGTTTTCACGTCATCGTGCGATTCCTGAAACTCCTCTTGATAGCCAGAGCACAACAGTGATATCAACATGAAGAGACTTTCTGGAACAATTTCCTCTGCAATTGCCTTGCTGATTTTTCCAATACAATCATGGTTCGGCGAGATCTTGATGTCATGATGCACTTTAACTGCCACGCGGTACAGCCAACTTAACAACTCTGCATCCAGATCAACATCCTCTGTGGCATCGCCATTGAGATCGTCTTCGTCTGATTCATTTATAGGAATTGTTAGCAGAGAACGCAGAGCAGCTTCCCCTAGATTTGCATAGACGATTCAGTGGGGCTCAGAGGGGTTTAACGGCGAGACAAACGCGATGTCCTCACCAAGAAAAGCCTGAATCCTTTCTTTAAATCTGTTGCTCCTGTAATCCCCCGGAGAGAGTTGATACTTTTCTTCAAGTTGATGAGAAAAGTATGTCCAAACAGCTTTGAGGGACAAAATATGGCCTTGAGAAAGCCTCTCCCTAAGCAAAGTCATTACCTCCTCGAAACATCTATTGGCATCATCAGTTTCACTACACTGTGCGTTTCTTTCCGTGTTTCTTAGGAAGCGCGCGTAGCACTTGAGGTGATATTTTCCTTCGGCAGCTATTAAATCACTAACTCCGGCTAGCGTACAGCTCAACTCTCTATCACTTGCTACATTCAAAAGAATTTTTTGTGATGTTTGAAAAGTCTGAACTTGGTTTAAGGCGACTTTTTTCACGTCAGTCTGGCAAAAGATACATTTACCCCAGTCGATTCTTCGAACTGATGATCGCCTAGAAGGTTCATTAGCCGGCGCGTCCTTTCCGTCTGGTTTACTCTCAGACTCTTGTTTCTTGAGAACACGCTTGATGTGCCCTTCGCTAGTGAAATCACTGTAGCAGTACCTGTGCCACACAACATCTTGGTTCTCTTCCTTCGTCTTTAAGTTATCTACTATACTCGAGTAATTCTTTTGCTTATCATCACCATACTTTTCTCTGATCTCAGCACAATACAAAATCCTGGATACACCTGCAGCGCTTCCTTTTGATAACGGAAACGTTTTCTTCGGCAACTTGTTTTCTTGACAGATAATACATTTGCTCCAGTCGACTTCACCTGGCAGGTCGACTGGATTATTGTCTAGAGGAAGCCTGGCAGCGGACTGCAATTCCATTTCTCTACAATAGAGACCCGACAATTACGATATCATATTTAACAACCAAGCTTGCTATACACTTAAAGATAAACCTGAATGCACTTTTCTCTGTTTGAACTACTCCGATTCATCGGTTCATTTGTAAACATATAGCTATAGAGTGGTAAATGTGTAATTTTAGGGTTCTACGGGAAAGATAATTTTACCCATTCTCTAGCTTGTGTAACTAACTGGTTTTCAAAATGACGACTCATGTATTTTCGGAACTTTTTCCGCGACCCATGCTTATTGAACAACTTGAATTTACTTCACAGACTTTACTTGACAGTGTAGCAATTCCAGACAACAAATGCAAGATATTAAAAATGTTATGTTTCCAAGCTACAGTTTTCAAGATTCGGGGAACAAAATAGATCACCGAATTTATAACAGCCACAACAATACCATGGAGGTATAGCAAACATTACACTGCATAAACAAGTACATCTTCAAATATTTGTTTTCAAGTGGAATAAAAAATAAATGTACTTGTCGTATTGTTATGATTGCTTGTTTTATCGTAGCTTTTAAGTACTTACCTCCTCACAGAATGTAAACTTGAAACGCTAAAATGGCTTTCCTTTTCTCTGAATTTTTATCTGCCTTTCAGTAACATACTTTTTCCTTGAAATCTTAGACTGGTCTATCAATTAATAGAAAAACTCAGGAGGACAAAATTAAATTCTTCTCTCTTCGAGCTGCAAGTATTTCTAAAACAAAATGGCCGCCAAAATCTGCCTCGATATCGTTCAGCCTCGTTTTTGTGCAAATCTCGTTCCCAGGCATAAGTTATGCATTTGAAAGTAGGATTTTGCCAAATTTTCCATATTGTAAAATAGAAACTGTAAAAGGCGAATGTATGAATTCAGCCTTTTCTAAATTGAGAAAAATAATTAAAAGAATCTTTTTTATATTAATTTTAAAAATACGTTGCTAAAAAAAAAACTTTCTGAAGCACATATTTACCACATGAAACATAGTTTTTTTAAATTTCTTATAGAAAATAATTCCTGAAGAGCTTACTGAAACAATTAATCAATCACGCTATTCACACAGCTAAGGCTAATTCAGAATCTATCCAGTGGTTGTTATCTAGTCACGTGACCCATCATATCTGATCACCGGTTACATTTTTGTGTTTTTATTGTTGGATGTGTAAAGCGAAGTGAGAAACGTCAGTAAGTTGAAAACTATATTAAAGGAAAGAGTGAATAGAGCGTCTTTTATGCTTTAAAACCGATTTAATTGAAAAGTCACGTGACTCTTCATAACTGGTCACGTGACGCATTTTATCTCCCACACTACAGTCTATCGAGCTCTAAACGTCAAGTAGCGAAGATTTAGCTATTTCCCCATCGTATCGTGCACTTTTTATTGGGTTTATATAAATGTTACAGTTCAGCCTCGTTTTTATGCTGCAGGAGCGAGGGCCTAGACCAAAAACCCGCTTAATGACAGATATCATAACATTTGGAGTGGGCAACAGCACAATTCTTAATCAGGATGGCAAGATGAAGATTTTAAGCCATGTTGCCTGCTTTTACTCAAAATGTTTAGCGAAAATGAAAAATGAGCGCCCTGCGTGACAGTGCTTCCTGACTACTTTGATCTGACTCTGATCTGTCACAACTGAATTGCTTGTAAACTTCAAGGATTTCGAAGTGTTAATCCCCTATGCAAATTTTCGGCGTTTCGTGGCGTTTGCTTGGAGAACAAAGCAGCTTCAATGGGAATGATGTTGACACTGGCTTTCTAGCCTGTTCCAAGCCTTCAGATAGTGGAGAGCGGTGCGAAGTAAAGAAAGCGATGAAAAGTAGAGGGGGGAATGGGGACCTCTCCTCCTCGCTCGCTTTTACTTTTTCGCGCTCCTTTTTCACTCCCCACTATCTGAACGCCTGGAACAGGCTACTCGCGTTCTGCATAATTTTGCCTTTTTTGTGCAGGAGTTCTTGTGATTCAATAGATACTGGACTGCCCTTATTTCGCTCCAATTCTGCGACGAAACGACCTTCATTGTATAAGTGTTCATCGAGTGCTACCAAGTTCAGCTCACGTCGGTGTTCCTGTCGGAAATGTCGATAATCATCTTGTGGTTGATTAGGACTGTAATGTGGCTGATAATTAGATCTGCGAGCAGGATATGTTTCCTGAGGCGGTGGTTGAGGGCTTGGCTCTCCGCGTAGCCTGCGTAGCTGGCAGTATTGTGTGGGTGCGAGATTAAAGTTTTGGCGGCGGAGCCGTGTTCCAAAAAAAAGGGACCTTAAGATCCGACGACGGCGGCCGTGAGCTGGGGGGAATGGGGGGAGGTCGCCGTCGTATGGCGCGAAAAATTGACCTTAAGATCTACTGTGGAGGAGGCGGACGGCTTCATAACAAGCTTTCGGGGGCTTTCAGTATTTTAGTGAAAGTATGGCATCCTTTAGAGATATACGTAACCTTCTTGTCGAAAGTTTTGATGACGGTGATATTTCCGAGGACGAATTTCTCCTCCTTTACGATGCAAACACCTCGAAAAACCCAGATTTCCCTTATGACTGCTATGGATCGT